TAAGTGAGCTACCCTGTGGCACATACATATGTCATAGTGTGGGCGAGTGGTGACTTCCTTTGAAATGAGTTTTTGAAGGACAGTACCGACGACATGGGTGTGCTGGTATTGCGCCCTAGTTCGCGTGTTGGAGGTTGCTACATACACCCACTATCCGATATGGTATCCGTAAATGACTCGACATGGACACGGGATGCTTTGATAGAACCCGGATGGATGGATGTTTGGGAAGTCTCGATGAGATGAACGACACGCGGGTCCATTCTCGATGGCATGACCGAATGAGTTATGATGGCCAACGACATCCCGAGACTCGAGATGGCGTCAAGACATATGGACCCTGTCGATGAGGATCGAGATGGCAAGATGAGATGCGACGTTGTATTGAGAGACCTTAACCCGAGCAGAGGCAAGGTCGAGCTGAATGAGTTGGCCTAGTGTAGAGGCAAGTCGGATGTGTCACAGACGATTGAACATGCACACGCAAGTGGCGTGTGTGGTTGAACAAGCTTGGATTCCGCACAAGCGATGTTCGATTGGTGAAGACAAACCTTGTCTAAGGTCCAACGAAGCCACAAAGCCGAGGCGAAAAATATATATGGGGCTTAATTCCCCTCGAGGCTAGTCGTGAGCGTGTCAAGATCACGACGCCGCACTGTAAAAAATGTAGGCCCGTGACACACAGCTCGCCCCAAACCCTTACCGGCCATCCAATCTTCGTCATTCCACTCAAGTTTATGTTTTAGTTTAATTAATTATTGTTCCCCATAAATAATTAAAAAAAGGAGAAATAAAAAATTTCAATATTTCCTTACATTTAAATAAATAAAGAATCTAAATTGACTTATTTATAAAGTTTTACTTTATTTTCTAATTTTATTTTTTATAAATAGAGTTGTTTGATAATTTTTTTAAACCAATTAGAAAAACATATTTAAAAATTTTCGTTTCTCTCCAAAAAAATTAAATTTATTATTATTATTATTATTATTTTGTCTCTCTCGTCTATTTCTAAAATTTGTTTTTAATATATATATATATATATATATATATATATATATATATATATATATAT